TAGAGGGAACACTGCTGCTCTGTCTTCCACCCCAGCTTGGAAATCTCCCCCAAGGAGGACCCCGCCTCGTCATGCTTTTTCCTTGTCGGGGGTCCTGCTGCCCCCCCCCACCCTCTTGCAGTAGCTCCTCGAGATGGTCACAGTGGCCGGGCAGCCCCCCCACCTTCTCTCTCCCCCCCTTTCCCTGAGGCCCTGCTGCTCACTGACCAAATACTAAATTCCTCTCCCCCGCTCGCTTTCTCTCTAGTTCCCAGTCTGGGCTGCCGGCCGCGACAGAGGTCACCAAGGACACTTGTGTCTGTGAGGATCGTGGCCCCTCCTCTGCCTTCCTAGGAGCCGGAACCCCGCAGCCCGAGTCGGCCCCCCCAAGCATGAGTGCCTTTGAGCCAGCGGCTGCCGCTGGCCCCCCTCCGGAATGGGGCGACCCCTTCGATGCCTTTGCAACCAGCAGGCTCAGGCCAGGAGCTCCGAGGGAGCCGCCGCCGAATGGGGACGCCGCCTCGGAAGGCCTCGCTGACCAGGACCGTCCCGAGGAGGAGATGAGCCCGCCCCACCCCCCAGCAGGACTCCCCCTGCGGTGGCCCAGCGAGCCAGGAGGAAGTCTGGGCGTGGCCCCTGAAGAGACCTTGGTGGGGGGGGAAAGCCGCCTGGGTGAGCAGCCGTGGGGCAGGCCGGGCCACTCTCCCTCGGGGGCCTGTGAGGAAGCTGCGATGTCTGGAGCGAGCCTGAACCACCGGCAAGTGCCGCCCCGGGCAGCGGTTGAGGCAGAAGCCGCCGATCCCTGGGGAGAGGCCTGGGAGGCCCTGGCTGCGGGAGCGCCCGCCCCAGCCACGCACCCGGACTCCGAGCTGCCCCTCGGCCTGGCCCTGGAGAGCCACGCAAGCCAGCCTGGCTCTTTGGAGAAGAAGAGTCCTCCGCGCTCCCCCACAGAGAGCCAGCCGGAGAGGCCGGCCGTGTTGCCGCTTGGAACGAGGAGCCCGGCTTCCGAGGCTTCCGAGGCGGAGGCAGGGGAGGACGCCTCGGCCGACGTGTGCCGCTGGGACGCTGCCAGGCAAGAGCAAGCCGCCCCCCAGATGCCCCCAGCCCCTGGGCGACAGCCCGCACCTGGCGAGGGCCTCCTCCCCGAGGAGGCAGACGAGCTGGGCGGCAGTGCTGAGGAGCCGAGAGGGGGGGAGGAGGGCGGGCAGGAGGGGACCGAGCCAGCCCCGCCGAAGAAGCCTCCCCGGAGCTTCACCCCCCTCAGCCTGGCGGAGGAAGCGGATGAGGCCCTGTGGGGGGCACGGCCGAGGTGTGAAAGCCAGGAGGGCCCAGGGGGGGAAGCTGACGGGCAAGGGCCCCCCGGGGGTGGCGGCGGCAGCAGCTGCAGCACTCCTTGGGTAATTGGCGCAGGTGGCGGGAGCGTGGGCTGTGGCGCCGAGGGCCTCCTGCTTCCTCCTGCAGGCGACGGCCCTGCCGGAGCTAATGAGCAGGCGCGGCCGGCAGGCTCTTGGGGGGATTCCCAGCCGGCGGCAGGCGAGCAGCTCGAGACTTGCCCTGGGAAGCCGGGCCTGGCGGGTGCAGGTGGGGAGCCTCTCTCTGCCCTCCCTTTGGGGTCGGGGCCCCTGCCATTCCCCCGGCCGCTGCCCGTGGCTGAGGAGGGGGGCCTCGGGCCGTCGGGAACCCCTCAGGGGCCAGAGCCCAGCCCGCCCGTGCTCTTCTGGACCGCCCTGGAGGAGCAGCTGCTGTTGCCGCAGTCCCCGGAGGGTGCCAGTCCTGAGCGGCCCAGGGGCCTCCATGAGGGCACCTCCGATCGAGAGCCCAGCCTGGAGCGGGGAGGCGGGGTGGCCCTCGCCTCGCCGGAGGCAGATCGAACTGGGAGCCAGAGTGGCTGGGCCCCGCCCGCCTGCCCCCAGGCCTTCCTCGCGAGTGGCACGCTGAGCCAGGGGCCCGGTGACTTGGAGCTCTCCTCGAGCTGGTCGGACGACAGGGTGCTGGACTTCAAGAAGGCCGACTTCTGGCAGGCGGAGAGGGGGGAGGGGAGCAGCGCCCCCGGCAACCCCTTTGTCTCCTCCCGGGCCAGCCCTCAAAACAACCCCTTTGTGGAGAGGCCTCCTCCTGACGTGCCCCCCGCCCACCGGGCCTCCCTGGTCGAAGGCCCCAGCTTTAGAGACCTCCACGCAGAGGCCGCCCCGCAAGGCTTGCTTCCTGCTGCCCTCTCCCAGGACCGGCCCGCGGCTCCCGTCCTGCATGACAACCAGCCCTTGGCCTTCTCCACGCCTTCCCTGGGGGACGAGGCCGTGAGCTCCAGCGGGTTCGACTTCCCTTCTCCCATCGTGCCTCCTGCTCCCAGCGAGGGGTCTGCAGCCGGCGGCCTCCTCGACGCCCGCCTCTCCCTTGCTCTTCCGCCGCCCAGCACGGATGCCACGGCGCCTTCGGTCTCGCCCGTGGAGACTCGGCCGGCTGACGAAGTGCCTGTCCAGTGGACCACCAGGTGAGCCCAAAGGGTGTGGCGTTCAGGTGTGGCTCTCTCTCCCCTGTCCTCCTGCGGTGTGTGGGCTCTCCCCTGCCCCCCGGCTCTTGCCCTTTGCACCCTTCATGCTGCATGATGGCGCACCCCCGTGGATTCGTGTCTGGCTGGTTTCTGTTTGATGGCTACGTGGCTCACAAGACGCTGCAGCTGCTGTGAGGGTGGCTGACTTCTCTCCCTGTGTGGGTTGCGTGTGTGAGGAGAAGGCCGATCTGGCTCTTGGGTTACTGTCCCATGTGGGGGAACCCCCTCCCCCATCACAATCGGCACCATTGCTCTGCTCAGTCAGGCTTATGGGACAGGAGGCGCCATTTCATAGAAATGCATGCCATGTGGAACTTGTGTGAGGTGCCGTGGCTCAGTGGCAGAGCCTCTGCTTGGCATGCAGAAGGTCCCAGGTTCAATCCCCGGCATCTCCAGCTAAAAGGATCGGATAGAAAGTGATGTGAAGGAACCTCTGCCTGAGACACTGGAGAGCCACTGCCAGTCGTAAGCAGAGCCAGTTTGGTGTCGTGGTTCAGTGCGCGGACTCTAATCTGGGAGGACCGGGTTCGATGCCCCACTCCTCCACTTGCACCTGCTGGGTGACCTTGGGCAAGCCATAGCTCTGGCACAGCTGTCCTTGAAAAAGAGCAGTTTCTGTCAGAGCTCTCTCAGCCCTACCTACCTCACAGGGTGTTTGTTGTGGGGAGGGGAAGGGAAAGGAGTTTGTGAGCCGCTCTGAGACTCCGAGTGAAGGGCGGGGGATAAATCCAGTCACCTCCTCCTCCAGTACTGATTTGGGGAGGGGGCATAGCTGGGTGGTAGCAGAGGGTCCCAGGTTCAGTCCCTGGCATCTGCAGGTAAAAGGGCCAGACAGAGGATGTGGAAGACCTGTGTGAGACCCCAGAGAGCAACTGCTAGCCTTTGGTAGACAATACTGGGCTGATGCTCAGATTCAGGATAAACCAAGATAAACCGAGCCGTGTTGCTCTGTAGCAGCAGAAGGAGCCCAGGAGCACCTTAAAGAACGAACGCGATTTGTGGCAGGGGAGGCGCTTCCGTCCCCTGCCGCCTCCCATTTTGTGAGTCTTTAAGGTGCTCCCGACCTCTTGCTCTTTCGTACGGATTCAGTACAAGGTCGCTTCATATGTGTGTGGGGGGGGCTGTTGTGGCGAGTCATTGTTTTCACCACAAAAATTAGCATCAAGATTGGGGTGGGTGGGGAGGATAGCTGGTGGTGTCAAGGCCCAGCTGTGAGTCATGATGCCGCCTCCTCCTCCTCCATGGGCTACAGGACAGGAAACCGCAGCTCCCCCCCTCCCCCAGGGAACCTTCTCTGTGTACCCTGGAGAATACCCCCCCTCCAGGGGCCAAAATCTCAAGTCTTCCTGAGTTGCTTGTCAGCAGCTGTTGTGCTTGCCATGCTGGCAACCTTAGACTGTCTCCAGATGTGCTTGTGAGGGCCGTGGTTGTGACGTCTCCTGTTGTTCCATTGTTGATTACTTGATTATTATTATTATTAGTAGTAGTAGTAGTAGTAGTAGTATTAGGCTTCTGCCCAGCCGTGGCAGCTTAAGTGCTGGCTCCCCCTTGGACCAGTTTGGTGTAGTGGTTAAGTGTGCGGACTCTGATCTGGGATTCCCCACTTCTCCACTTGCACCTGCTGGATGACCTTGGGCAAGCTGTAGTTCTGATAAGAGCTGTTCTTGAAAAAGAGCAGTTTCTGTCAAGAGCTCTCTCAGCCCCACCTGCCTT